GGACCATGGGCCTCCGTCGGGGCCTCTCGGAGGCCTCTTCGCTGAGACCGAGCACGAGCCATCGCCCAGTTTCTTCCAAGGCTGCTGTGCTTGCCCCCGCTCACACGACGAGGAGGACGAGGGATAATGATGATGCTGCTGGTTCTGGTGATGGTGATGGTAATGGTGATGATGATGGTGATGATCTTGATGATGATGATGATGATGATGATGATGATGATGAGGATGATCATGACGTTGCTGGTGACGATGTTGCTGACATCGATGCTAGTGCTGATGATGAGGCGGAGGATGATGCAGGGGATTTGATGATGATGACGATGATGACGATGATCGTGAAGTAGATCATGATGGTGATGATGATGATGTTGATGTTGATGCTGATGATGATGATGATGATGATGATGATGATGATGATGTTGATCATGATGATGGTGATGATGCTGATGATGATGATATGATGTTGGGAATGTTTATGATGTTAAGAATACGCTAATTGTAATGATGATGATGGTGATGATGATGCTGATGATGCTGATGATGGTGCTGGTGATGACGATGATGACGATGCTGCTGACTCTGATGCTGATGCTAATGATGATGACGTGGTTGATGATGCTTGGGATCATGATGATGTTGATGGTGCTTAAGAAAATATTATGGTGACGATGCGATGATTGTGATGATGATGCTGGCCATGATGATGAGGCTGAAACTGATGATGATTATGATGATGATGATGATGATGATGATGATGATGGCGATGCTGCTGGCACTGATGCTGATGTTGATGCTGGGGATTGGATGATAATGGTGAAGCAGATAGTGCTGGTGACCATGACGGTTGTCATGATGATGATGGTTGTGATGATGATGTTGTGAAGATGGTGACGCTGATGATGATGATGTTGATGATGATGCCGATGATGAGCCATCTGATGATGATGATGATGATGATGATGATGATGATGATTGTGATGGTGGTGACGATGCTGTTGAAACTGATGTTGATGCTGATGATGATGAGGCGGATGATGATGCTGGGGATTCTGATCCAGATGATGAACAAGATCGTGATGGTGATGATGATGGTGATGCTGATGATGGTGGTGATGATGATTATGCTGACAATGATGATTGGGCTGATGGTAGTGATGATGACGATGATGATGCTACTGAAGATGTTGCTGATGATGACAATGCTTCTGACACTGATGCTGATGCTGCTGATGACCACGTCGATGCTGCTGACACTGATGCTGGTGCTGATGCTGACGACGAGTCTCATGATGATCACGATGAATCAGGTAATGATGATGCAGATGATACTGATGCTGCTGCCGATGATGATGATGATTCCTATGACGATGATGATGCTGATGATGACGACGCGGATGATGATGCTGACGAAGGTGATGATGAAGAAGAGGATAATGTTGATGATGGTGATGATGATGATGATGAGGTTGATGTTGATGAACCTGATCATGATCCTGATGGCGGTGGTGATGATGATGATGACGACGATGATGCTGACACTGATGCTCATGATGGTGTTGATGACTCGGATGATGATGCTGGGGAAATTGATGATGCTGATGATGATGAGGATGATGGTGACGATGCTGCTGAAACTGATGCTGCTGCTGATGATGATAACGCGGATTATGATGCTGGGGATTCTGACCCAGATGATGAACAAGATCGTGATGGTGATGATGTTGGTGATGCTAATGATGGTGGTGATGATGATTATGCTGACAATGATGATGGAGCTGATGGTAGTGATGATAACGATCATGATGCAACTGAAGATGTTGATGATGATGATGATGACGATGCTGCTGACACTGATGCTGATGCTGATGATGACGACGTCGATGCTGCTGACACTGATACTGGTGCTGATTTCGACGACGAGTCCCATGATGATCACGATGAATCAGATAATGATGATGCAGATGATACTGATGCTGCTGCCGACGATGATGATTCCTATGACGATGATGATGCTGATGATGACGACGCGGACGATGATGCCGACGATGGTGATGATGAACAAAAAGATAATGTTGATGATGATAGTGATGATGATGATGCTGATGTTGATGAAACTGATCAGGATCCTGATGGCGATGGTGGTGATTATGATGATGACGACGATGATGCTGACACTGATGCTGATGATGGTGATGATGACGCGGATGATGATGCTGGGGAAATTGATGATGATGATGTTGAAGATGATGGTGATGATGATGATGATGGTGGTGATGATGATGATGAACCTTATGATGATGTTGATGATGGTGATGACGATGCTGCTGACATAGGGACTATGATGATGTTGATGATGGTGATGATTGTGATGATGCTGATGCTGATGCTGTTGATGACGATGCTGCTGACTCTGATGCTGATGCTGATGATGATGACGCGGGAGATGATGCTTGGGCCTTTGTTGGTGATGGTCATTAAGACGGTAATGGTGATGAGGAGGAAGAGGCCGACGATGATGATTATGATGATGGTGGTATTGCTGATGATGAGAATGATGCTGATGATGCTAACTTTGCTGCTGACACTGACGCTGATGTTGATGACTATGTACGCGGATGATGTTGCTTGGTTTTCAGATGGTAGTGATGAAGAAAATGATGATGATGATGATGATGATGCTGATGATGATGATGATGGTGGTGGTGATGATGATGATGATGGGTGTGATGTTAATGATGTTGATGATGATGATGGCGATGCTGATGATGATGATGATGCTCACGACATTGTTGACACTGATGCTGATGTTGATGGTGATGATGCGGATGATGGTTATGATCGTGGAGGCGATGATGATGCTGATGATTATGATGATGACGGCGCTGCTGTTACTGATGCTGATGATGATGACGACGCGGATGGTGATGCTTTGGATTATGATGATGATGATGAGGAAGAAGATGATGTTGTTCATGATGCTGGTGATGACGAGCATGACGAAAGTGATGAGGCTGATGATGATGCTGATGATGATGATGATGGGGATGATGATGATGATGATGATGATGATGATGATGACGATGCTGCTGACATTGATGCTAATTCTGATGATGATGACTCCGATGATGATGCTACGCATTTTGCGGATGGTGATGTAGAGCGTAATGATAATGAGAACGATGATGATGGTGGTGATGATGATGTTGATGATCACGATGAAGGTGCTGCTGACAGTGTTGATGATGCTGGTGATGATGATGTGGATGATGATGCTGAGGAATTCGATGATGTTGACACTGATGAACAAGGTAATGATGATGGTGATGATGATGGTGCCGATTGTCATGATGATGACGATGATTATGATGATTTTGATGCTCATGAAAATTATGATGATGCTGATGATGATGATGATTACGATGCTGCTGACACCGATGCTGATGCTGATGAAATTGGCGCGGATGATGATGCTGGTGATTATGATGTTGATGTTGATGATGATGCTTATGCTGATGCTGATGTCGCTGATGATGATGGCGATGATGATACTACTGATGTTGGTTGTCATGTTTGTGTACAAAGGTGATGATTTCTCTGATGGTGATGATGATGTTGCTGATGCTGATGCTGAGTATGATGAGGAGGGGGCGCTGATGATGGGGATGCTGCTGCTGATGATATGATAATGATGCTGATGGTGGTGGTGGTGTGGTGCTGGCGGTGATCATGATGATGGTGGTGGTGGTGGAGATGATGCTGATGATACTCGTTCTCATTATCATCAATTATATTATCTAATGGCCTTCGGCCCATACTGGCACCGTGCCTGGGTTGTGGGTATGGCGTCTACTGGTTGTTCGCTGGCATCGCGCAGGAGGCTTTTCGGAGGCATCTTGGTGGCAGTTTGGACGCCTCTTGGGGGCCGTTTGGGGGACTCATGGGGCCTGTCTTGGGCCTCTCAGGTACCTCTTGGGGCCTCTCGGGGTACTCTTGGGGGCCTCTTGGGGCCTCTGGGCTGGGGCCTCCTGGGGGCCTCTTGGGGCGGCATGCTCGGATTTTCGGTTCGTGATTTCTCTTTCGGGCTTCTTTGGGCCATCTTAGGGCCGTCTTGGGCCGTTTCTGGCGGTGGGGGCTCTCTTCAGATGATGATTATGCTGCTGCTGCCGCCGACGATGATGATGATGCTGATGATGATGACAAGGAGGATGATCATGATTTTGATGATGCTGATGACGATGATGATGATCAAGATGAAGATGATGATGATATGATGATATGATGATATGATGATGATGATGATGATGATGATGATGATGATGATGATGACTCCGATGATGATGATGATGATGGTGATGATGATGATGATGATGATGATGATAATGATGGTGTTAACGATGACCATAACGGTGATGGTGATGGTGATTGTGATGGTGATGGTGATGGTAATTGTGATGGTGATGATGATGGTGATGATGGTGGTGATGATAATCATAGTGGTGATCGTGGCAGTGGTGGTGATGGTGATGACGATGATGGTGGTTGGGTGGTGGTGGTTGTGCTGATGATGATGATGTTGATGATGATGCTGATGATGATGATGATGATGATGATGATGATGATGGAGGTGGTGGCGCTGGTGTTTGTGGTTGTCATGACGATGATGATGCCGACACGGAGGAGGAGAAGGGTCAGGTGGAGTTGCATCAGCAGTATAGTGAGGCGAATGAGGGATAATGGTGATGATTATGATGATGATGATGAGTTGGAGGAGGAGGAGGATAATAATGAGGATGAGGAGGAGGAGGGGGAGCAGGAGGCGGAGCGGGTGCATGGGGAGGACGAAGATCAGCTGAAGGAGAGGGAGGAGGATGCGGACAAGGAGGATCGAGTGGCGGGAGTCTCCTGCCAGGATTCCGAACTACTGTGTCGGTAGCCTCAGTACGCATAGTGTTTGTCATCGACATATTCGCGGGCGAAGGGCCAGGTGCATTCCAGCACCAGTCCGCGACATGCTCGAGCTTCATCCTATGCGAGGTTGGTTTCCACGCGCGATATGCAGCTCACCCCTCCCGGGTCCCGCGTCTCTCCTCTCCTCCTCCTCCGCCCCTCTCGCCCGCGGAGGGCACCCCCTCCTCCTCCCCATCCGTCTTCCGTAGCATTTTTTAAACGCCCGGCCCGGGCCCGACGTCGCGCCGCCGCGCCCGCGGATGCCCCTCCCGCCGCGGCCTCTCTAGGTGCCGCCCTCGCCGGCGCCGCGCGGCCCCGCCGCTCAGCATCGTCTGTCCTACCCCGATCCCCATCCGGCCACGCCATCGAGCTGCCTGCGGCAAGTCCCGCCGCCGTGCCAGCGCAGATTTCTCGGCAGTTTGTGCGCGAGCGAGCACGGAGCTCCTGGCGTGTGATCTCTCGTGTGGCAGACCCACTGAGAGCCCGTGGCACGTGGTGCGCTCTTCAGAGGGCCGTCTCGGGGGCTTCTGTGACCAAGGCGCTTGGCGCCGTCACGTGCGGCACCTCGGCCGTGTTGGGGTTTTGGTGCGCGTTCTGAGTCTGTGAGCCCGTCAGGGGGGATGGCGATTGTGGTGGTGGTGGTGAGGATGGTGGTTGTGATGATGGTGAGGATGGTGGTGGTGGTGATGCTGTCGATGGTGACGATGACAATGACGATGACGATGATGATGATGATGATGCTGATGGTGATGATGGTGATGATGGTGATGATGATGCTTCTGGTGGTTATGCTGATGACGAGGAGGATGATAATTAGGATGCTGATGATGAGGATGATGGTGATGATGCTGATGATGTTGCTGATCATGATGAGGATAAGGACGATGACGGCGATGGGGATGACGGCGATGGGGGTGATGATGATGATGATGATGATGATGATGATGATGATGATGATGAGGATCAGGAGGATGATGAGGATGCTGATGATTTTATTGATGATAATGTTTCTGATGATGGTGATGATTATGCTGAGGATGATGGTCACTGTAAGGGTGATGGTGATGGTAATGAGGATGGTGAGGATGATGCCGACGATGATGGTGGTGATGATAATGATGATGATGCTGATGAGGATGATGATGGTGGTCACGCTGTTGCTAATGATCATGATGGCGACGAGGAGGAGGTGGAGGAGGAGGAGGAGGAGGGGGTGATGATGATGATGATCATGGAGAGGACGAGTATGTTTGTGAGGTTGGTGATGCTGATGATGATGCTTGTGCTGATGATGATGATGATGATGCTGACTGTGATGATGATACAGCTGGTGGTGGTGAGTACGATCGTGATGGTGGTGTTGGTGTTGGTGATGGTAATGTTGATTGTGATGGTGATGATGGTTGTGATGATGATTGTTATGGTGCTGATGATGCTGATGATTATTATGATGAATAATGCTGATGATGGTTGTTGATGATGATGAGGTTGATGAGGATAATGAGGTTGATGCGGATGGTGATGATGAAGACGATGATGATGATGATGATGATGATGATGATGATGATGACGATGATGATGATGATGATGATCATGATACTGATTGTGATGATGATGATGATGCTGATGATGCTGCTGATGATGATGCTGCTGCTGATGATGCTGATGATGACAATGATGATGGGTATGGTTATGGTGATGCTGCTGATGATGCAGATGATGATGATGATGATGCTGCTGCTGCTGATGATGATGATTATGGTAATTATGATGATGATGAAGATGATGACGATGATGACGATGATGACGATGATGACGATAATGACGATGTTGATGCCGATGATGATGATGATGATGCTGATGCTGTTGCTGATGCTGATGCTGATGCTGATGATGATGATGATGATGATGATGATGATGATGATGATGATGATGATGATGATTATGATGATTATGATGGTGAGGAGGAGGAGGACGACAAAAAAGGAGAAGTTGGACCGTTCTCACATGTGACACCTGTCGTCTTCACTTCTTGAGAAGCCCTCGTGGATCTCACGTTGACAGTCTCGGGGCTTCTTTGTTAGGGGCCTCTCGGGAGTAGTTTTGGCGTTTCTTTTGGGCCCGTCGGGGCCTCCAGGGGGGCAACTCGCCCCCCTCTCATGCGGCCCCACAGACGGGCCGACTTGCCCCTTTTCTGCCCCCGCCGCCGACTAGCCCCCCCACAAGGCTAGCTACCTATTGTGTCTTCGCCGCCGACTGCCCCCCCGCCCCTCCCTCTCCTCAGGGGGAGGCCCATCTACCTACTTTGCCCCCCCCTCCCTCTCCCAGGGAGGCCTACCTAGCTACTTTGCCCCCCCTCCCCCTCCCAGGGAGGCCCACCTACCTCCCCTCCCCAGGGAGGCCTACCCACCTATTTGCCCCAGCGGCCAACCAGGCTCCCCCCCTCACACATCCAAGACTCACTGCTTTCACTGGAGTGATGAGGACGGGAGGGGGGAGGACGGGGGGGGAGGGGGGAGGGAGGAGGGCAGTTCGCCGCTGGGACTGAGTGGGTAAGTAGACCTCCTTGTGAGGGTGGGGGGCTAGGTGGCAGCGGGGGCAACTTCGGTAGATTGGCCTCCCTGGGGGGAGGGGGGGCTAGTTGGCCGCGAGGGCAACGTAAGCAGGTAGGCCTTCTGGGGGCAGGGGGGGGGCGGGCTTGGTTGGCCGCGGGGGAACAACGTAGCTGGGCAGGCCTCCCTGGATGAGGGGGGAGGGGGGGAGGGGCGAGTTGGCGGCGAGGACAACGCAGGTAGGTAGGCCCTTGTGCGGGTGTGGATCAGCGGTGTTCGGGCGGGCGCGGAACAGTCCAAGGAGCAGTCCCCGGAAGAGTACGTGGACCTCAATTTCTCTGTCCGTGTTCCCCTTTCTCGGGCTCTTCTCATGGCCCTCTTGGGAAGTCGTCGGCGCCCTTCAGGCCGTCTTGGAGCCATGCTGGGCCGCCGTGGGTCCCTCTTTTGTGGGCCTCAGTGTCCGTCTTGGAGTTCCCTTGGTCGGGAGCTGATTTTTTTCCTGCTCTGGGAGGGTAATCCGAGGCGTTGGGGGCGTCACACGCAAATCCCTGGTCAAGCGCCGCGCCCGAGGTATTTGAAGGTGCGTTTCGTTTTGGAACAGACCAGAATTGGCCGCGTGAGTTTTGATTTGAAGTAGAGCCCGGTCGTTGGATCCGGGGTCAGGGCCAATTCTGTTGTGCTCATCTGGTAAAACCACCGTGCATACGCAGAATTGCCTTTGTGTGGCCGGTGGAATTGAGTGTAGACGAATTCTTGACGTATCGAATATCCCCACCAGACCACCCAGAAACGATGCCCAGTCGAGTCGAGGTGAGCAGGGGCACGTAGGAGCAAAGGGGGAGGGCAGCCGTTATCGTTCGAAGGAGGATGAGGACATGTGAGGGTGAACGGAGGTGGAGGACGAATATGTGGATGAGGAGGCGGAGGGGGAGGATGAGGAGGGCGAGCGGAGGGGCCAGAGGCCCCTTCGATGCCTCTCGGAGTGTCGTCAGGTATCTTCTTGGGCGCTTCCGGGAGGCCCCTTCGGGCTTCTTCTCCGTAGCCATTTTGGCTCTAGCCTGGCGCGCGCGCGCTGGTTCAAGGGGTGGCCTCTGGCGCAAGCCTATCGGCGCCCCTTTCCTCCGCGCGCTCCGCATGGCGACGGGGGGCGGCCCGCCGTGGCGGCCCACATCGCTTCGGCGGCTCGAGATCAACCAGCTCGGGGCATCTGCTGCTCGCCGCGCGGCACGGGCCCACGCTCGCGCCGCCTTGGAGGCCGCGCTCGGGTCGTTGGTATCGGCTCGTGCACTCCCTGGTTCGTGGGCGGACCGCGAGCAGGCGTCGCGGCCCGCCTTGCAGCTGGCCGCGGGCGGCTCGCGCGCACCCGGCTCCAAGCGGCGCAGGCGCAACGCCGCGTGGCACTCTCTGAGAGTGCCGCCTGGCGGCTTCTCCGGCTCCAGGCTGCTGGGAGGTCCCGCTCGTGGTCACCGGCCTGCGAGCCATGGCCTTCGTGGACGGCTTGGAGGCGGGCTTGCGACTGGCGGCCACGCTGCATTCGCCGTCTCCGCATCGTGCCGAGGGCTGGGCTGCTGGAGGGGATGAGCACTGCCGTGGCGCACCTCCCGCGCCGCCACTCGATGTTCCCGACGGTCTTCATGGTGTCGAGTGCGAGCGCGTGCGAGGTGGCACGGATCAAATGCTTCGCGAAGGCCCTGGGTGCCGCATGGGGCTGCGCCCCTTGGGTGCCGCATGGGTTCCCGTCCGATCCTGGTGAAGGACACCTTTTCGGAGCTGCCTCTTTGGCGGCGTCGGCTGGAGTGGGTTGGCATTCCCCTCCGCGGTTGTTCTTCGGCCTTGGCAGCGAAGACGATCCACTCAGCGACTTCGAGCATTGAGGTTCCACGTTCGTGCAATCTCGGTTGTCCTTCCGCTGTATTTGGATTCTGGGCGTGATGAGTTGGGTGACTTCCGTTTTGTTATTTTCTTTGTACGGGGCTTACTGGCGTATACGCCGTATGTGGCTTTCACTGGTGTGATATTATGTATGTGGCTGCCGCGGGGATCAAGTCTCTCCACTTTGTCGTGCGCGGTGTCTTCAATACTTCACGAATGGCTTCCGTTTGGTGCCGCACATTCCCCACTGTGCTGCACGTATGTTCCTCTTCCTGTCCTTCGGCATCCCCGTCATGCTGTTCGCGGAGGAGTTCAGTGAGAGGCCTTCGGGGAGCGTGTTGATGTCAAAAAGCCCTTAGGGTTTCTTGGTTGCCTCTTTGCGGTCACAGGGTTCTTTGTGCATATCTGGTGCCTTTGGGGGCCCCTTGGGGACTCCTGGGGGCCGCTTGGGGGCTTCCTCGGGGTTTCCTCTTGGCGTCTTGGGGGTCTCTCGGGGTCTCTTGGGCGCCTTTTCGGGCCATCTTAGGGCGCTCGTGGGAACCCTCGCGGGCCCTCCTGGAGTCATATTGGGCCCTCCTGGCGCCCTCTCGGGCCCGCCGCTGCAGAGCATCTGAGGCGGGCGTTTCATATGCTGGGATCCCCAGGGCCCTCCTGCAGGCCTCCTGCAGCCCTTTAAGGCCCCCGGGGCGCCCTCTTGGCGGCCCCGCGGCAGAGCATCCGACACGGCCGTTTCAGATGGCTCTTCCGCGAGGGGCGGGGGGGTGGGGCGCTTCGGTCCAACCCAGGGCTTGTCTCAGGGCCTCGCGGGCCCTGTGGAAGCTCTCACGGGCATTGTTGGGCTTTTCCAAGGCCCTCTGATTCAGTTTGGCGCAGCCCCTAGAGACAGGCCGCAATGGCGCTGCCGGCGGCGCGGGCTACCC